ACAGCGAGTACACCGACGAGAGCACACACAGCACACACACAGCACACACACAGCACAGCACCACATCACACACACGAACACACACAGCACACACAGCACACACACACACACAGCACACACAAACACACACACAAGAGCACACACAACACACACACACAACACACACACACACACACACAACACACACAACACACACACACACACGACCACATATAGACAATAGATATACGTATATAGATATATATATATATATATATAATATATAATATAATAGTATATATATAATATATATATATAGGGTATATAATATAATATATATATATATATATATATATACACACAACAAAGTATACATATATATATAGATAGACAACACACACACACACATCACACATAACACACACACACACACACACACACACACACACACACACACACACACACACACACACACACACACACACACACACACACACACACACACACACACACAGTGAAACATACATAAATGCATACATACATGTGTGTGTGTGTGTGATGATGTGTATGATTTCAAGTAGATTCATCACATTGGTGTTATTGGCATGGAAAACATTTGAGCAGTGGTGCCCACGTAGTTCTAGTATGTGTTCTTGATTCAGATAGATCGGTAAAAGTACACACCGTACCATATTGTGTACTGTGGCTATGGATCCTGATTCCTATAGTGCTCTCAGATCTGGAAATATTAGGAAAGCACATTGGTTTTTAATAGATGAAGTTCTCTAAGCTCTTATACAACACTATAAAATTTCAGAAAAGCTAATATGGCTTGTACTTTTGTCTCTTTTATTGGGAAAAAAATGCTTTCCTGTTCTCTTTTCAATGATGCAGTGATTATTTACAACAAATGAATATCCAGAAAATAAATCCAGTATTTTAGTGTACACTGAGAATATTATTCCTTGTTGGTAAATGTAATTCAAGGAGCTTATGCTATTATAGAGAACATTTAAGATTTAACCCAGTTATTTTGTAAATAGAATTAGCGTCTGAAGTAACAGTTGGTATGGATATGTAACATGAACTAAATGTCATTAACAAAATGTCCGTATTGCCACCTTGTACTCTATTTAGTGATTGGAACCTGGTCCGATTCCTGTATTTTGGATTTTTATTTCATGTTTTGATGCATGTGTGTTCATGGTTGACCTTGCATGACCTTGCTTGTTACAGAAAACAAGAAGTTCTCTTTCCTGAGCCAGGATGAGGTCGCCAAGATGAAAGAGGATGAAGGTTGGTAGAATTAGAGGGTGCAACGAAGCCAAATTCAAGACTAAATTGGGGTCCAAGTCCCTCATGGAAGTTTTCTTAGAAATTCTGATAGCATCAGCAATTGATTCTTTTATTATGAGCAGTAGCTTAGGAAGATAAGTAAAGAGACCAGAAAAAGTGTTGTTTGGTTGCTTCCATGCAATTATTTCTTGTATTGGTTTAAATTAATTATGTTTATTCTGGAAGTTATAAAAAAATTGGGTTAGATACTGAGGGTTGTAAAATGTATATAGTACATATGCCTTTGAGAGTGAAATGCCTCTAGCGAGCTGAAATAGGAACATATAGATTTGCTGCTGATATATAAAAAGGAATCTGTTTGTAATTATATAAGTTATTAATGAAAATGGAAAAAGTAATATTAGAGGATTATTTAATGATTTCTAATTATAAATTATGTATTATGCAATAAAAGACAATGCAAAGCACCAGTTTAAGTTTGTGATGCTTACTTATCATCACATCAGATCGTCGTGTAGCAAGCATGACAGCCGACCAGCTTGCCAACCTCTCTCGCCTGGATGATGTGGAAGAAATGGCTGATGACTTAGCACACCAATTTGGTGTCACCAGCGATTACGATCATCGGAAGTACAATGAACACGACATTATTCAAGGACTCAAGGAAGTTGGAGACGACAATGCTTTAAGGTAGTTTTATTGATGGTTTAGTTATGTCTTTGAAAAGATTGAAATGGAAATCATGAAAAGCTTTGTTATATGCTTTCTTTAATTAATTTAACCCATTAACCCCAGGGTAAAAAAAAATTGGCAAGTAAACATTAACATGGGGATGGATGTTGGCGCACACCGACTGTTTCCCCTTTTTGCACCTGACTTATTTGGTAGTGTGTGGGCAACATTAGGTACCTAAAAGCTTGTATTTTGATATCGTTTGAAATATGCTAGTGCATAAAAGTTTAACAATAGAAATGATGCTAACGTCATGGGAAAGGTCATGATACGAAGCCATCTGTTACTTTGTCCACAACAACCATGGCGTGTATGTACATGCACCCAGTTAAGGGAACCGTCTCTCTGCAGGGGGGGATGAAGGGGGTCAAATGGATTTAGCTAGCCTATTGTTTAGGTACAAGAATAAGGAAACTACCAGACAACTATTACAGCCCAACTTGAGATATTTCTTGGGTGGCTCATATGAAAACTGCCAACATGTAGAGGTACG